TTCTGGATCTTCAACATTTGTTTTTTTTTTTTAACCTCAATGTGGTTGCTGTATCATACTAGTTTGAGTCCTCGGACAACAATCCTTTTCTGCATTTTGGCTTTGAAGTTTCAATGCAGCTGCACTTTCCACTTTCAAGCCAAGCAGTCTTGAAATTCACCGGGTATCCTTTAAGGTAATTTCTTTGAAGAGATTTTTTACCTTTTTATTTGCCTTGTGAAACTTGTTTTGCGGAGGCTCGGAGCCCAGAGTTTTGTCATTTCTTAACCTTTTGAGTTAGTGCGTGTAATTTACAGAGAAGCAGATCTAAGTGAATAAAAGGGGCAGTTTTCTGGCGTTTATGATGTTTCATTCACAATGTTTACTGGGTCAAATTCTGCCAAGTGATTAAATTGGAAAAGCTAAAGGGTTGTGGTTATGGGTTTAAACAATTAATGCTTGTCAACTATGTGAAGTTTTCTAAGATTGTCATACTAATTTTGACAAAATGAGCTTCTTTTTTTTTTTTGACAAAATTGTGACTTGGGGGGTTGTTTATTAGGCCCAACTAATCCTCAGCTCAAAGAGAACTGCTGTTGTAGGTAGTAATTTGCTGAAATCTCTCTTTCTGCCGTTTTCCTAGAATTTTTGTTGATTTGTTAAATGTTATAGCATTTTGTTGGTGCTAGCAATTCAATACAGCCTTTAATTTTTTGTTAAATGAGACGTAATAATTTCATTTGCTATAATAGTGAAAATGTTTAGATTAGTAAATTCTTATATGAATGATCGACCTAATGCAACGAGTGAATTTGTTTCTCCTTAGGAATTCATTTGCTACTTTTTGGCGAAAAAAGAAGATGAAAAAAGTTCGTGTGACTCTTTCAATATCTCAGTACATCCACTTCCTTGTAAACTGAGCCTATTAAATCACTTGTGTGGCATAATAGATGATAAGAAAAAGCATACGGGCTCTGCTTTTTCCTTTGCTTGGATGCCTTTTTCTAACTTCTTGCTTTCTGAATGTGTCTTTTCTCAATTCTTTTGCTACTTTTACATGCTTGGGAATGCTTTTCTTTTTGGATGTATGGATTAAAGAACCCTAGGTGTAACATTTACTTTGTGTGTTTGTATGTGGAATTTTTAAGTGCTTGTGTTTTAGTTTATCTATCTATTTCACAGTCCTTTCTGCCTTCCCAGGAAGGCCACTCTAGAACTCCATTATAATTAGTGGTTAGCTCATATGAAAGTTATGCTTCTGGTGATATCTCCGAATATGAAGGCTTCCTAATTGATCCTCATAAATTAACAATCGAGTCCTTCATGCCAACTATATGTTGATTGGTTGTAATTTTGGTTATAATGAAGATATATTATGTGCTCTTTGCTTGTGGATAGTTGTCTGCCTGCTATATGAAGATTGTTGAATGGAGTTTTGGCAAAAACTATGGAAATGATGCAGGGTTTGTTCCATTTCCAACATTTGGTACCCAAATTCCATCCGGCAAAACTTCTATTTGGTAGTCAAAAAACTTAAAGTGCTTAGTTTGTCATCTGGCTTCATTGTGCACTTCTTTCATATAATATGCCGAGGTTTATAAAACTGGCTTTTTTCACAGCAAGAAAGGTCCTTGCAATTTTTTAACTCGAACTATTGTTGACACTACTATTACCTTTTCCCTTTCAAATCATCTACCTAGTAAGTTATATGTGCTATTAAACCATACCATAAGCTTAAAGTCCTTTAAACAAATTTTTTTTTTTTTTGCTGGATTTAAAGTAGTCTTGCTTTCCACTGACCAGCTGACTTGCTGCAGTGAGGCATGGAGGACGTTTTTATGTTCTTATGAGTACTCTGGTTGTTTTCATAGTATGCCATTATCATTTGGAAGTGTCTTAAGTGCTGGTTTCTGGTCCACTTATATTTTGCAGAGAGTTACTGATGTTTCAATGTTTCCTGTGATGTTGACAGGCCAGCAATACCTGTGCCATCTTCTCTCCCATAAATCTAGCAATCACCTGATGAAACTCTGCAACACCTATCTGCATTTTTTGCTCGTTGTCAATGTCATTCTTCTGCCTCTGGCACTTGGTGATTTGAAAGGTGATGAACAAGCCTTGCTGGATTTTGCAGATAGAGTTCCCCACCGTCGGAGGCTAAATTGGACTCTTAATAGGCCTATCTGCACATCTTGGGTTGGAATCAAATGTTATCCAGATGGCAATCGTGTGTTTGCTCTTCGGCTTCCTGGGGTTGGACTCAAAGGTCCTATCCCTAGCAACACACTGGGAAAATTGGATGCACTGAGGATTCTCAGCCTCAGATCCAATCTCCTCAGTGGTAATCTACCCTCTGATATTTCTTCCCACCCTTCGCTTCAGCACCTCTTCCTTCAACATAATAATCTCTCCGGCGATATTCCAACTTCTTTCTCTTCGCAACTCAATGTTTTGGATCTATCATTTAATTCCTTTACTGGGAAAATCCCGCTAACATTTCAGAATTTGACTCGACTCACTGGATTGAATCTGCAGAATAACTCGCTTTCTGGTACCATTCCTAATATCACCCTTCCGAGGCTCAAACATTTGAATCTTAGTTACAACCACCTTAATGGTTCCATACCACATGCCCTGCAAATTTTCCCCAATTCATCATTTTTAGGGAACCCTTTCTTATGTGGGGCGCCTCTGAGTCCCTGTCTTCCTCTTGTTCCTCCACCTTCTCCTACCCCCAATTTTTCTCCACCTCCCCCAAAAGGAAAACAAAGCTCCAAAAAGAAACTCCCTCTAGGAGCTATTATTGCTATTGCAGTTGGTGGTGCTCTAATCCTCTTTCTTATAGTGGTAATATTCCTTTTGTGTTGCCTTAAGAAAAGGCAAACTGATGGTGGCAGTGTACTAAAAGGAAAATCCTCCAGCGGTGGAAGGAGTGAGAAACCTAGAGAGGAGTTTGGTAGTGGAGTCCAAGAACCTGAAAAGAACAAGCTGGTTTTCTTTGAGGGATGCTCTTATAACTTTGATCTGGAGGATTTATTGAGGGCCTCGGCTGAAGTGCTGGGAAAAGGTAGTTTTGGGACTGCATATAAAGCTGTCTTGGAGGAGTCTACGACTGTGGTTGTTAAAAGGTTGAAAGAAGTAATTGTGGGGAAAAAGGACTTCGAACAGCAGATGGAAATTATTGGGAGAGTCGGACAGCATCCAAATGTAGTACCTCTACGTGCTTATTACTATTCCAAGGATGAAAAGCTTTTGGTCTATGATTACTTCTCAAATAGCAGCTTGTCAGCTTTGTTACATGGTATGTAGCTCTGTTGCTCCACTCTCTTGTTTCAGCTGCTCATTTAGTGACCCCAATTACTTGGGTTTTAAACCAAATAATTTACTTGCATAAAGTATAATAATCAGAATAGCATCCAACCAAGTCACAAAACAGGGCTGCCTGTTGGCTTGGAATGAAACATTTGCTTGAGGCAAGTAGAACAACTGATCAGAGCTAAAAGGCATATGGTCTTACCTGGTGCTTGAAAACAAGCTTCCTCTTAATACTTGACCACATAACTGGGTGATATAGTTTCCTTTGTTTTTGTGCTGTGCTTAAGTTGATTATGTATTTGAATGCAACAAAATCTGGAATTCCCTTCCAAAGTGGAACTTTACCACTGCCAACTCTAACTGAAGGTACCTGGACATTGGGGATCAGTAGAAGTGTCTCATAGTTCAGGTGTGAGCTGGATTTGAAGTGCATCTTCCTCTTTTTTCTTGTTGTGCACTCTCTCTTCCTTTTTTATCTAGATTAAGTATCAAGAGCAATAATGCACTCCTATTGACTTTAGCCGATATGTCTTGGTGGATTCTTAATATTTATCTGATAACAGGAAACAGGTCCTCTGGGAGAGCACCACTAGATTGGGAGACGAGAGTTAAGATATCCCTTGGAGCTGCTAGAGGCATTGCCCATATCCATTCTGTGGGAGGCCCAAAATTTACTCATGGAAATGTTAAATCTTCCAATGTCCTCCTCAATCAAGATCTTGATGGCTGTGTCTCTGATCTTGGCTTGGCCCCACTCATGAACTTTCCAGCCACTAGATCTCGGCAGGCAGGATATCGTGCACCAGAGGTTATGGAAACCAGAAAGCACACTCATAAATCAGATGTTTACAGCTTCGGCGTCTTGCTACTGGAGATGCTAACTGGAAAACAACCAATTCAGTCTCCAGGACGGGATGACATGGTTGATCTCCCAAGGTGGGTGCAATCAGTTGTCAGGGAGGAATGGACAGCCGAAGTTTTTGATGTCGAGTTGATGAGGTTCCAAAATATTGAAGAAGAAATGGTGCAGATGCTGCAAATAGCCATGGCATGTGTTGCCAAGGTGCCAGACATGCGACCAAACATGGATGAAGTAGTTAGGATGATTGAAGAGGTCCGGCAATCTGACTCGGAGAATCGGCCATCTTCAGAGGAGAACAAATCCAAGGACTCAACTGTGCAGACCCCCTGACTCCTTGGAGGCTCTCCTTGTTTATCTTTTTTGCGGTTTCCCATTTGTATTTTGAAAGGGGATTCAATATTTGATTCAATTCACGCGTGCCTGTTTCAGTACTCCATTCCTAACTGTGACCTTGCCCGCGCGTATAGCTCCTTAGAGTGTGAATTAATCTGATTGCTTCATTTCGACTTAGGGATGTAGTCCATTATTAGTTTTTTAAAAGATTGTACCTTTTCCCATTTCATGATTTGTTGTAAGGATTCTTTATCCGACTCATAAAGCTGATTTATGATTTTAAGCAGATTCGTGGTCTTTTTCTTCCGAGATTGGTTTGTTACTTTTGTTCAATTATTCTTCTTCTCAAACCTTTAATTTACTTAAAATAGCTGTGCGGTGTTCCTATACGTTAGGAGAGAAAAAGGAACTCTGTTGCTGCAGACATAATCCCGATCCAATATCTCTGGTAAAACTATGAATGCTGAATTTCTCCCTCCGCGAAGGGAGTAGTCTTGGAGCTTGTTTCGCAATGGCGGGTTTGGCTGCTAATAATTCCAGAGGTGGTCAATCCCAGCCATCGGGCAACCAACGCCCTCAAAGGAACCTGTCTCGCCGCGTTTCATTTAACGAGTCGACTCTCAAGCAATCTGAATCCCCTCGATCTTTTGTGATCGACGTCGAAGGTCAGAGAAACAATACGCCACCCCGCAACTCCGGCTGCAACATCTGCTGCGCATGGGCTTCCCTCATCGTAGGCATATTGGTCGTGATGTTTCTCATTGTTGGAGCCATATTCTTCTCCTTCTTCCAATCCAACATGCCAGAATTCCATTTCCAGAGGCTCCAGATTAACAGGCTTGATATTTCCACGACCAAAAGTTCTGATACTACATTCTTAACCACGGATATCCAAGTAGACCTGAACGCCACCAACAAGAATGGGATAATGCCGGTGTTTTATACCTCGTTGACTGCTGATTTGTCCTCTCAGGACATCGACTTAGGCAAGGTGCATCTTCCAGATATGGAACAGAAACCTCAGAATTCCGCACGGTTGAAGTTGCATGCTCAGCTTCAAAAGGAACCCGTCACAGAGGCTGATGCTAAGGACCTGAAACAGAAATCCCAAAATCACCAAATTCTTATGAACGTGATCGTTGGAGGTGTTGTACATTATGTCATTAATGGACATAAGATGCCGGGCTTCCCTTTCAAAGTCCTCTGCGAGGACATCTATCAGGGGTTACTCGACAGTGGAGAAGTGCCCAAATGTCAGGTCAAAATGACCCCCGTCAGGTAACTCATTAGAGCTTGTATCTTTTCGTCCATTTTGGAGCTCATGGACTTATTTTCTCCAATTTGCGCAGTTGATGATGATGATGACTTGATCCTTTGCGAAGGCAAAAGATGCAAGAATTGGTGAGGCATTGGCTGTGTTGAATGTTTGTTTAGATGATTAATAATATATTCCAGGAAGGGTTGGATTATCTTTTCTTGAGTAACGCTTGTAGGCAGCCCTGCTCCCTTCTTTCCTCTCTGAGCTGTCGCCGGGCATAGTCTTCTTTTCTTTGGATATTTTTTATGGAGGCAGATCGAATGTATAACAAGAAAATTCTCCTAGTTTTTCTTCCTCTGCTCTGCAAATTTTGTTCTTTCTCTCTAGTTTTGGTAATCAAATGTTATATTAGCAATTAGGTAGCATGATGAGGCTAAAACAAATTGTAATACGAAACCCCCCCCCCCCCAAAAAAAAAAAAAAAAAAACTCCGTGCAATAAAGGAGTTAATAGCCAAATACAAAAGAACTAGGCTCCGTTATGTTGGAAGAATTCCTCTGTGTTACGTTCCAATAAAATTAATTTAAAAACTAGTTTTCAAAAATCAACACCATTCATCATATATTTCATCACACGTGGATTACAACAAAGTTACCAAATTTATTCTTCTCTCCGTGTTATTCTCAGATAGTACAATTCTGTTTGCAACTGTCTTTGCTATTTTCTTCTCGTTTCTATCACGGTCCAAATTGGGGTTAACCTTTGACAGATTCAATCACAGCTCAGTTTGAATCAGTTACAGCTTTTGCCAATCAGCTCCAGCGTATTCATTAGTCGCGGCCCAGTTTGTCCGCTACACTAACATCTTCAACTCTTTATATTCATTTTGACTAGGGTCCTCTCTGTCTCCTCTCTCTCTCGGGTGTAATCGAATCGATTTGAGCTCGTCAAATTTACAAGGATAAAAGGAAAAATTTTAACAATTGTACTGTCTAATCCTGATCTTGACTAGAGTTTAAAAACTTAGACTCAAATTCGAGTTCAAACTCGTCGATCTCTTAAAAGTTAAGCTCGAGCTCGATTTTATTTTGTATTACTTGACTTCGAACTCGAGCTCATGTTTATCGAGTTCAATTGAGTCCAATCGAGTCTAATCGAGATTAAGAAGTATCAATTTATATTTAATATAATTTTAAACAAAGGACAAAATAGATTTATCATACTAATAAATAAAAAAATTTAAAAAAAAACATATTTATTGAAGCTCGATTAAGTTCAATGAACTTTCGAACTTCACATATTAAGTTCGAACTCCACTCGTTAAGTAACTCGAGTTGCTCGAACTCGGTCAAGGCGAGCTCGAAACCGAGTTTTGACCGAGCATGTTCGCGAACTAGTCGATTCGTTTGCACCCTATTCCTCTATATCATTGGCAGAACTTCCCCCAATGCAAAAATCAAATCTGCCTTTTTCTATATTAAAAAAGAATAAAACCCCCCTCAAATTTACGCCCTAGTGAAACTTATCAAACACCTGTATGTGTACTTAATACTGATCTACTGATTATCGAGTACGGATCGCATTACAAATAAAACAATTACTCGTTGAACTCTACTTATCAAACGAATGAACAATAGTACACTAAATACAAGGGGATTATTTTGTATCGGAGAATGGGGACGAGGAGCTGAGGTAATACGCCTGTGCACATATTCAAGAATCTAGCTTAAGAAATCCAATAATAGAGAAATATTCTGTTAAGAATCCCCTAATACGAGGAGCTAGACATTATGGGCAACATCTCTGTTCTGTTGTTAGTTGTTACTCGGTTCAATTTGTCCTTTTACTATTTTGACTCGGACAATTACATTTTGGCTAAAAAATAAAAAAAACCCTTGTGGTAAACCTAATACACAGAAAAGTCTTCCGTAATTTCAAAATATACAACACGATCCCTCATATTTTGAACTAAATTGTAAATGTGACTGAACCTGTTAAACTTAATGGAAATGAATGAAATGACAAAAATGTCTTGATATAATTAAGCAAAAGACAATTCAAAAAAATTATTTGTTTTATTCTCTAAATAGAGAGAATTGAGGGTTAAGGGGTAGAATGGGTATATTTGATAAAAATTAGGTATAAATTTTTTTTTTTTAGATTTCAATAAGTCATTTCCGTTAAACTTAACGAATTCCGTCACCTTTATAATTTAGTTCAAAATATGAGATGTCGTATTGTATATTTTAAAATCGTAAGGAACTTTTCTGTGTATTAGATTTATCACCGAGTTTTTTTTTGTTTTTTACCCTTACAGTTTTAATAAAAGAAGAGGAGAAGAACCAGAATCCGGACAATAATGATAAAATGTGTTATTGCAGCAGTAAAACCTCGAAACCAGCCGACTGCGGAAGGGTAAAAGTCGCCGCAGCGAGTCTCCGGCACTCCTAAAGCGGTGAGAAGAAAGAATTCTACAAACCAATTGCAGGGGATGGGACTGGGGGGCGGCCCCTAGTCTCAATTAGTAGCAGTTGTTAGTTGTTGTCTTTCGGGGATTAGTGGTAACGTATAAAGGTAGAGAGAGGGGTGCCGTTGATTGTACGCCAATTACGACTGCACCTCCAAAATTCTAGAATATCAAATTGGACCCCCTCTTCCCTTCCGGGCAGCCCTGCCCTCCTTTTTCTACTGCTAATTCCACATTTATTTATTTACTTTTTGTTTTATATTTATCTATCTTTTAGGAGTGACGCTACTGTGATTAGCTAAAATTTTATATCTTTCGACACCGTTGAGAATATATTCTAACCCTTTCCCTCAATCATCAATAATTCATTCAATATATCCTCTTTCTTCTGCTCTTCCTCTGCTTCTTCTTTATTCGTCTCTGCATTCTCCGTGTGTCCAAGTTCTTCCCCCCACCCTCCCCGCCGCACGCTTCTCCTTCCTCAGGTTTCCTTTGTTCCTTCAATCTTTTGTTTAAGAACCCATGTTTTAGATTTTTATGTTGCGAGGGATGTGTTTAGATCTCGCAATTTGTTCATTCATTTGCCTCGACGGTCGTCCGGGGTTGACTGTCCTTTTCTGTTTTCTGATGGGGTCTTTGTTTTGAATGGCCTTTGTGTGTGTGTGTATATATATATATTTTTTTTTAAGCCTTGAAAGAGTTTTATTTATCGATTTATTTATTTTGGGTCTTTGTTGTGCTTAATGAACTTTTATTTTTGCTGGCATAGGTTCTGATCTGAAGTTGGAAGTTAAGATTTAAGTGATGGCATCAAAACGGATATTGAAGGAGCTCAAGGATTTGCAGAAGGATCCTCCCACATCGTGTAGTGCTGGTACGTTTTATCCTTTTGTCTCTTCCTCTTTGTTCTCTTAGTAGTTTACCTGTTAGATGGATCAAGTATCTATTTTTATCTACTTATTACCTTTTCTGATTTTGTAATTTTGTTGGCAGTTGATATGTACGAGTTTCGACACTCGAATAAATAAAACTATCTGAATGCTACCTCATATGGCTGATTTGGGGGCTTTGGCTCTGACCAGCTGAATGCTACCTCATATAGCTGATTTGGGAGCTTTGCCTTGGTTAAAGATGTTTGTTTGTTTTGCTCTGCTTGGTCTTCAAAGTGTGCTTCAGATCCTGCCTAGCTTCTTTCGTACTTATCTGATTAGAGCGTTCCTTGAGGTTTTTTTCAGTAGTATGGCCGGTTAAATTTGTTGATGGGGTCTTACAGTTGATGGGGTCTTACATAATGACCACAGAGTGCAATCATCTAAATGATAGCTAATTAGACTGTTGGAAGATAAAATAGTCTTCAAAATTTGATTTACTGTCTGATCAATTCAATCAATACTCCCGGCAAAGTTTAGTCTTTGTGTGCATTGTATAGACTCTTTTAAGTTATGACATGCCCGAATTTGAGTGGTGTGATGATGCCCCTGATGCGTGTGTGACTATTTGATGTACTTTCCTTTTGGACAAGTTGTTGAATATATTCAAACCATTCCAATTATGTTTCTGATTTTATTTATACTAAATTTCATGTCAAAGAGGAGGAATTTTTGACATTGGCATACTCTCATCTGTAAAGGAATGGTTTTTAAGCTTTTTTCAGACTGTTATTTATGTTTATGTGGCCAAAGCTGTCTCGTGTTAAATTATAATTTCTCATGAAATTATCTGAACTCTGGCTCTTTTGAACTCTGAACTCTGGCTCCAAAGTATTAGTACTTGTTTGCCTCTTTTGCCCTTGTTGGACATTTCTTGTTTTGATTTATAGATCCACTATGATTTTGTTCCGATGCATCATTTGTATGTTATCACTTATCGTTTCTACGGATGATGCATTTGCTGGGATGTGTCATCAAAATTATAGGGTAGGGTGGTCAGAGTTAACAAATGTTTCTATCAAGATTTGGAATATTTTTAATTGTCATCACTATTGACGTGTGTTTTTCATTTTATTGAGCCAAACTATTAATCTCACTATTGGTGCTGCACTAATGCAGGTCCAGTGGCTGAAGATATGTTCCATTGGCAAGCAACTATTATGGGACCTGCTGATAGTCCTTACGCAGGAGGTGTTTTTCTAGTTTCTATTCACTTTCCCCCGGATTACCCATTTAAGCCCCCAAAGGTATGATGATTGGTCCTTTATTATATTCCACTGATATCTTATGATATAGAGCACTTACTGATTTAAGTGTATTTGGAAGAAGTATTCACTGCTGAATGCACAATTGGTCCCCTGCCCAAATTAAAAAGAAACAAAGGGAAAATAATGATTCAGAATTCATCACTTTGGGGATCTTGGCGGTGTCTGATGTGAGTGGAACAGCCAAGTAGGACTGCCTGTCAAACATCACTGATGTCAAATCATAAGCTTTTATGAGAGATGGAACTGTCACCGTCCTATACCGAAATGTCTTTCTTTTCTTTTTAGATATTAGGGAGGTGGGGATGTTTCATAACTGCATAACTTTAGGGAATTTATTTTTCTTCCCCTACTTGAAATGTATAGGGTGCTTAGAGACATGTCTCACTAGCTTTCATCAATGACCGACCTTGTAGTGGGCTGATATTTTCAGTGATTGAAAATTGTTTATTGCTTGTTCATGGGCCTTATTTTTAGTCAAGGTTGGTGGTTTGTTAAGTTTTCACTCC